ATGCATGTCCATTTTCTAGTTGTAGTTCATGAATTCATCATGATTTTGGAGGGATTGACTCATTTGATCATGTGTTAGAAGCTTTGAACTCAATTGAATACATGCATGTTAAATGTACATCTTGTTCTTGAAGTTTATTTGAAATTTGTGTTTAATTGACTTACCTTTGGACTTTGATTTTTCAAATTGATCTTCAAAACATATTATATTATGGGTTTTAAAGTGTTTTCCAAAAAATTGGCCCAAAATGATCGAATTTTGAGGCTTTTAAGTTGAGTTTTGTGCTTGGGGATGAATCTGGAAATTTCAGGTTTTGGACCCACGCTCGAGCGTAGGACTACACGCTCAAGCGTACACTCTGAGTCATGCACCTCCACTCGAGCGTAGAAAGTCATGCTCGAGCGTGAAATGCATATGCCCAGAAGTTCATGTGTTTTACAGTCCGCTCGAGCGAAAAAGTTCACTCCTTTGTTTTGTTTTATTTTATTTTATTTTATCTCTCCATTAATTTAAATAAAATACAACTACTATTAGATCAAAATATGCTTACTAATTTGACACTTAATTTTATTTTATTTATTTATTTATTAAAATAATAAATCTTGCCTTTAAATTGAAGACTTTCACCATAAATTTATTTTAGGTTTTAAAATTAATTAAAAGACCCTCCAAATATTTAATTTGCACTTTAAGATTCACCATCAAAATATTTGAGATTGTAATATTATTATTGTTATTATTTAATTATTTACTTAATTTTTATATTCGGGTTCTCACATCTATGATTTTGGAGCTCAAAGATACATCAAGGTCACTGAAAATCCACTAAATTTCAGTGTCTAAGAGGCCAAAACAAGGCCAATGCAAATGCTTACATGCATGGCTCAAAGCATGGGGAAATGAAGCATGCAAGGAAGAAAATGACTCCAAACAGAAAAGTGACCTCAATCAAACTTAAAGAGGAGGTCAAAACAAAACTTTCTTCAGTTTACAATAAATCTCGAAAATGTTCACAAGTAAGGCTAAAATAGGATGCAAAAATAGCCCTAAAAGAGAGATTGGGCATACAAGAAAGTAGATAACCTCAAACAGTAAAGTGCCCTTAAACAAAGTTTAAGAGAGGCTCAAAATAAGACACTTCACAGTTTAGGTTGAAGCCCAGAAATGCTTGAAAATAAGGCTAATATATCATGCAAAATAAGCCCTAAAAGAGAGATAAAGCATACAAGGGGGTAGGATACCTCAAACAGAAAAGTACTCTTAAACAAACATGAAGAGGAGCTCAAAATAAGACTATTTTAAGTTTACACCAAGGCTCAAAAATGCTTGCAAATGGAGCTAAGGTATAGAGCAAAATAATGCAAAAATAGGGGAAATGAGGACTTACCCTTGTAGAGAAGACCTCCAGCAACTTCTGGACCAAGATGGTGAGCCTTCAACCTCTGCAAATCAGCTCCAAGGTGGTTGAATGGATGGTGGAGGTGGTAGGCCATGAAGTGTAGTGTAAATGGCCAAGAATATTAGGGTTTTGGAACTTGGAAGAGAGAGATATGGAGGGAGAGGTGTGTAAGCCTTGGCTGGTTTTTCCAACCCTTCAACATGAAGCCAAGCCTCTCCTTTATAGAGGAGAGGCTTCAAAATATCTCCAAGAGACCCCAAGTATCCTCCATACACGTGTATGGAGGATGAACCAAATGGCCTCCAGCTGGCACAGCTGGATTACACTCAGAGAGAGCAAAAGCAAGAAGCAGGCCAACCAGTTCAAGTGGCTGGCCGGCCACTCCCCCTGGTCGGCCGACCAGGGGTCAAAAAGGTCAACAAAAATTTCTGGCCGGCCAACCCCAAAAGGTGGCCTCCCAGATGAGTGCAACACAACTGTATAGTGAAAAACCAGAAAAAAAATGACCCAGGAGAGAGGAAAACCAGCTTTTAAACAAGGTTCAAAAAGGACAAGGTGAATTTCTAGCCGGCCTACCCATATTGGTGGCCTCCCAGATGAGCACAACACAATAGTGGTATGAAAAGCCAGAAATTGTGGCTCAAAAGTGAGAAAAACCAACTTTCTGTCAGAAAAATTGACTTTTGGAGAGAGAAAATGAGAAAACTAGTTTTTCAGGGGAAAAGGTGGCTGACCACCATACCACCCCCTCCCTAATAGTGAAAATAGGGTCCCTACCAAAAATGGAGCAAGATGGATGCAAAACGAAGGTTCGGGGGCCAAAACGCGTAGTCTGGGGCCCCTAAAACAGGCTGTTAGGCACCAGAAGTGGCGTATGACCACAAAGGTGGTCTCTCGGGCCATAGTGTCCCTCAAAAGGGAGGAAATAAGGTGTGTGCCAAAAACCGGAGCAAAGGTAGGTAGTTAAGCAGTCCCGAACCGAGGCACATGGCTGACGGCTCCGAAAATCGAAAATCGAAAACCGGGCTCCAAATGGAAAAAATGGCCTACAACTGCGACACGTAGCCTATGGCCACTGAGAGATGGTCTACGAGACCTCTCCCTCCCTTTGGGAAGAGAAAATAGAGAAAGCAGGACCTGATTCGCAAACCGAGGCAAAGCACAAAAGAGCCCCGAAGTTCGGAGGCAAGGCTTGCAGCCGAGACTCTGAAACCTCAGAACGAGCACAATACGCAACATCACCGAGCGGTCAACTGGTGACGTCTGAGTCTTAAGGTCAGTCAAAAATGGGGTGTCTACACCAGCTGCATTTTCCTCTCAGATTCAAGCTTGTTTCCCAACTCAAAGTTCTTCTCAAGTGTTTTCACTTGTTCCAAGTTCAGTCTCCTCTTCTTTTCGCCAGCTTGTGACCCATCATCTAATAAGTCATCTTCAACCCCATTGGTTTCATGATCACACACTTCAATGGCTGAAAATGACATAGATCTCTTCCCTAGAAGTGATGCAAGACCTGCAAATTGCCACCACCATTCAAAAATTCTAATCCTATATATATCAATTGTATTGGGATACATATCAGTATTTATCAGCTCATATGTATCAACTGATATATCGATGAGTAACATTTTTGGAAGTTCAAAATCTCAATATTCATTCCTCTCCCAGTTGGTTGAGTGTTTTTATTCCCCTTGGCCTTATTGGAAAGTTGAGGGTTCACCTCCTAACATCCCTGTGAATACGGCAGGCATGCCGGAGAACAGCTTTTCCAGATCCTCCCTGCCACGAAGAAATCATTCTACATGAACAAATTTTGCCCATGGTTCTTACTGGAAAATAAATTCAGGCGATCATCATGGCCCAATTTGTGTATCATTGGATGTAAGCAAAAATATAAAAATAAATAATTCATTTCGTTAGACAGCGGTTTGTGGTTTTTAATACAAAAACTAAACAGCCAATAAGTCCTTAGAGAAATACATGTATGGTCCATCTCCAATAAAAGCAATTCGTGCCTCCGGTATCTGGTCCATGACACTGTTCAATCATACATCCCAAATTGCAAAAGCAGAAAATAATTATGAAAAAAGCATAATTCCGTCAATATTTTGCAAGTAATATTTCCTAAATTGCAAAAGCATAAAATACTTATCATTTGAAGTAAAAGAGCAGTACCTTTTGAGTAAATCCAAACTCTTCTCAACTCCTAGTCGTCCAACATGGACTATCAATGGTCTCTCGGGCTCCCCATTGCTGATTAAAAAAAGAACAATATATTAACATTTGGAGGAAACTCATATTACATGGCAATGAAATTTTAAGGATTGAAAGAAAGCCATACCTTAGTCTTATTCGCATTTCTTGAGAGTGATATTTGGGATAGAAGCTTTCGGAATCAACACCCTTATTCCAAAGACGAATCTTGTTACCTGAAAATAAACAAAGAATTAACATGGATATGAGCTGCTATTTTCAAAGAAACATTTGAAAAAAATAAAATAAAAATTCAAGCAGAAGCATAAATGTCAAATTCTGTTATGTGATCAATGTGAAATTTCAGAGAGTTATCTATTGGGCGATGTTCATTTACCTGCTGTTACCCTAGCTGCTTCAAGCTCCTTTGCAAGGGCAGCTGATGGAACCAGTGTAAGATCAGCGGCCCTATGAAGAAACTCTGTTAAGAAAAGAACAAAACTTTCATTTATCAGTTCACAAGCACGAAAAGTCAGAATCCATGTGAAATTGACAAAAGTTCACATCCTTATGACCCACCACATAGGTTTGACCAGCCAACTAAAGGTGTATCTTGGTATGTATCTGCAAGTCAAAATAGGAATTGGGCTCAACCCTTGTGGGGTGGCAAGCACACTGTGCAATTCCCAAAGATGATATGAAAAAAATTTATTGATACAAAGAAATTTTGTTTGATAAAATTTGATATGTATCAGCAGATTTTATTTTATAACAAATCAAATGTTGATCAGAAAGAAAAACTACATAGAGATTAAAAAGTGAACTTCGAAAGATGACTAATTTTACAAACATAGTGTACATGAATTTACAGAGATACTGTGTTACTTTGCATCACAATCAAGATCAATATTCCCATAGAGAAAGCTCAAGCAATTCATCAGAAACCGTTAAAACCACAAACAATTAACTAAATTTTCAGCAATTAAAGCAACAATAGGATGATCCACTTGACTGACACATGCCTCACATGCAATGGAGAATTCAAAAATGTTGAGTCCCATAAATAACCACCTAGATTTTTCAGAACGGGCAACGTTTATCTTCATTCTAACAACACGGATGCAAAAGAAAATGCATGCATAGATATATACACACACACAGAGGGGAATTTACCTGAGGGAGGAAAGAAGCGAATTGGGGTGTGGGGATAAGAGAAAAGCAAATCTGTGTAACTTGTTCTGGATCTCTCCCAACTTTGTCTCAAACTCTCTCTCTCTCTCCCTCCCTTCTCAGAATGGCAATGGGTCTGTCCTTCACTCCAAACCTCAACTCGACAAACAACAACGGTGGAGGAAAAATGCGTGTTTCGTTGTATTATTTAAGTTGTTCAAGTTCTTAGCTAACTTTTTTATTTCATCAAATTGAGCTTCTACAGTTACTGATTTGTGTAATCGTTTTCAATTGGACCACATCAACTGAAATCAGAACCTTTAGGAACTAAATACATGAAAATGATAGTTTAGGGATGAAAAAAATAAATAAATAAACAAAAATTGGTGATAAAAGTTTGAAATTAGCCCTTTGGTAAAAGAAAAGAACTGTAGTAGGTTTTTCAAAAATCAAAATAGTGCATTGTTTATAGCAAGTGAGTTGTGTGCATTATATAATAATATAAAAGTATAGATACATAATATATGTATATGTATCAACAAACTGAAAGTTGACCTAGGGTTTTTACAGCTGTAATTCCATTAAATGCCTACAATGAACCAAAAAAAAAAAATCAGAAAAAACTCCACCGTTGTGATACAATACGCATACACCAACACCAAGTGATAAAATCGTACATTGCCAAGTGATATAATACGCATACACCAACACCAAGTGATAAAATCGTACCTCGCATTTTTCGTGCAACAACAACGGTGTCTGATACAATACACCAATTTATTAGTAACCCTCTTTGCCTCCAAATTCAGAAAAATCGAAGTCAAAACAAACAAAAATCGTACCTTGCCAAGCATCGGTAGCAAAGAGGCAAAGAGGGTTTCGGCGAGATCTGTTGCGAGGAGGAGAGGACTAAAGTGATAAAGGGGGATGAGGAAGAGGCTGTCGTGATGGCGGTGGTCGAGGGATCTGTTGAAGAAGGAGAAACAGACAGGGTCCTGCGAAGGAGAAGAGAGGTGGTCGCGATGGCGGTGGTCGAGAGGGTTTTGTCGAAGAATAAACAGAGAGGGAGAGAGAGATAACGAAGGAAGGAAGAGACGTGGGTGAGAGCAGAGAGGGAGAGAGAGACGCGGGTAGGTGAGAAGGTTAAGGAAGAGAAGTGTTTGGACAGGAAATAAATAATTCAGAGCCGTTGATATATACTGAAGATTGATCTCAGCCGTCCAAATTAAATGTATCTCTGAGATATTTTTATACATTTTCAAAAAACCTCTTGCCTTATTATATAGATATATGTTGAGCTTTTTTTTTTTAATATTCTAAAAAAATAATTTAGAAAATTAACTCACTTTTTAAATTATTTGGAAAGCTAGCTTACTTTTTCAAGTCGCATTTTGAAAATGTGTTTTTAAAATTGAAATTGCATTTTCAACATGCAATTCCACTTTGAAATCGCATGTTGAAAATGCAATATATCTTAGTGAAGTCCATGCCATTATAAATTACATTTTCAATATGCGATATATATTGCATTTTCAACATGCGATTCAAGGTGAAATTGCATGTTGAAAATGCAATTTTGATTTAAAATTGTATTTTCAAAATGTGATTTTAAAAAGTAAGTTAATTTTCCAAATAATTTGAAAAGTGTGTCAATTATCTAAATTGTTTTTTTTTTTTGAATATTTAAAAAAAAAAAACTAAAAAAAAAAAAAAAAAACACTCTATGTCCATACAAAAAAGTACAAATTTGAAAGAAGTTAATGTGCTAAATAGGAATCTTAATTACTAAAATGATTCCGTACTTCGTAAGTAGTAACTCAGTCTGTGATTTTCTTAAATCAATAAAATCAATAATTACAAAATAAGAGAAGCTTAACTTGACCCAATTCGATTAGCTTGATGGACTAACCTTGTACAGCGTTAACTCAAAAATTTAATTCGTTAACTTTTATGATATTTTTTTTATAATTATAAATGTTAGTCGCGAAAGGCTACTATTCATTCACACCTTTAAAAATATGTATGATGTTTTTTATAATACGCTATGAAAATTTGTAATATAAATTACAAAATGACATAATTTTTTTATCATAAAAAATAATACGTCTCACTATCTCTAAAAAGTAACAAAAATAATAATAATATAAAAATGTTGGAGGTTTAAATTTTTTACCAAATACTTGCATAGGTGTAAATCTTATACTTACGTGAGTGCTTGATAAAAAAATTTGGCCTTGTTTGGTTTGATTTTGAAAGAGTAATTTGAAGAAAATTTTTCAAAATTTTGTTTGGTTTAGTGGTTTTGGAAAAAAAATTCAAAATCACTTTATTTCTCCTATACATCAATCAATCACTTTTTCTCTCTTCTCTCTCATTTTCAATTACTTTTTCTCTTACACACATCTAATCAACTATAACAAAATATCAAATCATTTCAAACTCCCATATTCTAAAACTATTTTCAAAATATATAACTAAACAAATAAAAAAAAAATTCTAAACTCTCCCCCCCAATTTTTTTTTTTAAAATTTATTTCCAAAAATCAAACCAAACACACCCAAAGAACATTACTCATAATAATATTTGTAACCATAAACTATAAATAGTGGTAACTTAGGCTGTGCTTAGATGTTAGAATTATATAAGAATTTGTGAAAAACAAATTAACAAAAAAAAAAAAAAAAGGAATGAAATATGATTTAAATATTTGCCAGTTACTCTTCTCTCTTTTTCTTCTTCTTCTTCTCCTTCTTCAATTTTTTTTTTAAATACTTAAAATTTCTCTTACAGTGCAACTTTTGTATACTATTTCGTATGGGGAGTGGGTTGTCTTTTTAACTTTTTGGCTTTTTAATTTTTTTTATTATTTTAGCCTGAGGCTAAAAAGCCTGGTTTGGGAAGGACTTTTAGTTTTTTTGACTTTTTTTTAGCTTTTTTGTGAAAGAAAAAATGTAATATTTATGGATTGGATGTGATGTTTTGTCTTATTGAACTAAAAAATCTATTTGGTATTTTGTGACTATTTTAACCAAAAAAGCCACAAAACCACTTCCCAAACATAGGCAAAAATTTGTTACTTTCGCAGGATAAAGTGTATATAATAGGTTGAAATATACAAACAGTTATTATAGTTTGGGATTTGTGTCACTTTGGTTCTTGACTTTTCAATTGTGACATATTTGACTATGAATTTTGATTTTTATTTCAAATAAGGATAATTAAAGACGCTATTGGATTTTTCAAGAGAAAAATCATCAATTTGATAAAATATAAACTAATTTGACAAAAATGTCAAAAAAATATTTTAAATTTTTAAAAATTATTTTTACCCACTAAAGATAAAATTATGTAAAATTGATCAATCTTTTAGACATTTATTTATTTTACCAAATTAATTTTTATTATGTGTTTTGATGATCATCATGTAAAATTAATCATGTAATTTTTATTAATTTTTTCCAATTTTATATAATTTTATCTTTGGTGAGTAGAAATAATTTTTAAAAATTTAAAAATATTTTTTTGACATTTATTTTTATCAATTAGTTTATATTTTATCAAATTGACGATTTTGCCTTTGAAATTAAGCAATAGTTTTTTCAATTGTCTTTATTTGGAATAAAATTCAAAATTTATAGTCAAATGTATCACAATTGAAAAGTTATGGACTAAAGTGACACAGGTCCCAAACTATAGGGATTGTGTAATTTGCCCTATATAATAACATTTTCCAGCTTTCTAAGGCTTCGCTTGTTTTTAAACAAAATATTTTATACAAAAAAAAATATATTTTTCTAGTAAATTAATTTTACGCATAAAAAAAATGTGGTTAGTTTTATTTTTTGGCATTTAATTGACACTTGAAACAAAAACATTTTATAAAAGAGAATTTTGATTCAATAAAAATGTCCTTTATGATTTTTTAATGAGTTAAGATATTTATTTAAAAATGTTAAATGTGTTAAAAATATAATGAGTGAGAGTCAATTTTATAAAAATTAACTTACAGAATTTTTAAAGATAAGTCATTTTTAGAAAAATAATGCAAAAATATATTTTAAAAAAATGTTTTACGTTTTTTTTTTTTGTTTAACCAAATAACGAAAAATGAGTAAATTACAATACGAAACCTAATACCAAATTATTTTAAACTCATAAGTAGGGAGGTAAGAAAAACTAAAAAAAAATTGACCAAACCGATTGAATCTGAACCAATAGACTATATTTGATTTGTTTTTTTTAACAAAAATTGGTTTGTACAATTTTTTTAATTTAATGTTTTTTAATTTTTGATTCGATATCGGTTCAAGTACCTTATACACCGAACTAAACCGAACTGACTGCTTCAACCTATATTACATTTATAATATATACATATATATATATATATATATATATATAATCTAATAATATAATGATATTAATAAGTATATTAAATTATTAATCTCAATTAACTTTATTATTTCTATAACCTAAGTTATAAATTCTTATTATATATAATTGTAACTTTGACTCATTATTTTTAAAGCCTCAATATTTTTGTATTTTTTTGTTTGTTTGTATTTTTGTTAATTTAGGAATTAAATTTTTTTTATTAAATAGATAGATTGAATATAATTGAA